AAAAACAAGATCCCAGGACCTGATGGATTCCCTGGGGAATTCGACCAAATTTTCAAAGAAGAAATATCACGTATTCTCCTGAAGATGTTTCAAAAAATTGAAGCAGAAGGAAAACCTCGAGACTCTTTCTATGAAGCCAGCATTACCTAGATCCCCAATGCAGGCAAAGACCCTACCAAAAAGAAAAATTTCTGACCAATATCACTTATGAATATAGATGCTAAGATTCTCAAAAAGATCCTAGCAAACAGGATCCAACAGCACATTAAAAAGATTATCCACCATGACCAGGTGGGATTCATTCCTGGGCTACAAGGATGGTTCAACATTCGCAAATCAATCAATGTGATAGAACAAATTAATAAGAGAGGTGAGAAGAACCACATGGTCCTCTCAATTGATGCAGAAAAAGCATTTGACAAAATCCAGCATCCATTCCTGATTAAAACGTTGCAAAGTATAGGGATAGAGGGAACATTCCTGAACTTCATAAAATCTATCTATGAAAGGCACACAGCAAATATCATCCTCAATGGGAAAAAGCTTGCAGCCTTCCCGTTGAGATCAGGAACACGACAAGGATGCCCACTCTTAAACTCTTGTTTAACATAGTGTTAGAAGTCCTAGCAACAGCAATCAGACAACAAAGAGAAATAAAAGGTATCCAAATTGGCAATGAAGAAGTTAAACTCTCTCTCTTCGCAGATGACATGATTCTTTATATGGAAAACCAAAAAGACTCCACCCCCAAACTACTAGAACTCATATAGTAATTCAGTAACGTGGCAGGATGCAAAGTCAATGTACAGAAATCAGTGGCTTTCTTATACACTAACAATGGAAATACAGAAAGGGAAATTATAGAATCGATTCCATTTACTATAGCACCAAGTACCATAAGATACCTGGGAATAAACCTAACCAAAGAGGTAAAGAATCTGTACTCGAGGAGCTACAGAACACTCATGAAAGAAATTGAAGAAGACTGAAAAAGATGGAAGACCATTCCATGCTCTTAGATAGGTAGAATAAACATTTTTAAGATGTCTATACTGCCTAGAGCAATCTATACTTTTAATGCCATTCCGATCAAAATTCTACCAGTATTTTTCAAAAAGCTGGAGCAAATAATCCAAAAATTTGTATGGAATCAGAAGAGACCCGAATCTCTAAGGAAATGTTGAAAAACAGAAATAAAACTGGGGGCATCACGTTACCTGATTTCAAGCTTTACTACAAAGCTGTGATCACCAAGACAGCATGGTACTGGCATAAAAACAGACACATAGACCAGTGTAACAGAGCAGAGAGCCTAGATATGGACCCTCAACTCTATGGTCAAATAATCTTCAACAAAACAGGAAAAAATATACAGTGGAATAAAGACAGTCTCTTCAATAAATGGTGCTAGGAAAACTGGACAGATATATGTAGAAGAATGAAACTCGATCATTCTCTTACACCATATACAAAAATAAACTCAAAATGGATAAAAGACCTCAACGTGAGACTGGAATCCTTCAGAATCCTTGAGGAGAACATAGGCAGCAACCTCTTCGATATCAGCCACAGCAACTTCTTTCAAGATATGTCTCCAAAGGCAAAGGAAGCAAAAGCCAAGATGAACTTTTGGGACTTCATCAAGATCAAAAGCTTCGGCACAGCAAAGGAAACAGTCAACAAAACAAAGAGGCAACCCACGGAATGGGAGAAGATATTTGCAAATGACAGTACAGACAAAAGGTTGATATCCAGGATCTATAAAGAACTCCTCAAACTCAACACACACAAAACAGACAATCATATAAAAAATGGACAGAAGATATGAACAGACACTTCTCCAATGAAGACATACAAATGGCTATCAGACACATGAAAAAATGTTCATCATCACTAGCCAACATGGAGATTCAAATTATAACCACAATGAGATACCACCTTACACCAGTCAGAATGGCCAAAATTAGCAAGACAGGAAACAACATGTGTTGGAGGGGATGTGGAGACAGGGGAACCCTCTTCCACTGTTGGTGGGAATGCAAGTTGGTGCAGCCACTTTGGAGAACAGTGTGGAGATTCCTTAAGAAATTAAAAATAGAGCTTCCCTATGACCCTGCAATTGCACTACTGGGTATTTACCCCAAAGATACAGATGTAGTGAAAAGAAGAGCCATCTTTACCCCAATGTTTATCGCAGCAATGGCCACAGTCGCCAAACTGTGGAAAGAACCAAGATGCCCTTCAATGGACAAATGGATAAGGAAGATGTGTTCCCTATACATTATGGAGTATTATGCCTCCATCAGAAAAGATGAATACCCAACTTTTTTAGCAACATGGACGGGGCTGGAAGAGATAATGCTGAGTGAAATAAGTCAAGCAGAGAGAGTCAATTATCATATGGTTTCACTTATTTGTGGAGCATAACAAATACCATCGAAGACAAGGGGAGTTAGTGAGGAGAAGGGAGTTGAGGGAAATTGGAAGGGGAGGTGAACCATGATAGACTATGGACTCTGAAAAACAATCTGAGGGTTTTGAAGGGGCAGGGGCTGGGAGGTTGGGGGAACCAGGTGGTGGGTATTGGAGAGGGCATGGATTGCATAGAGCAGTGCATGTGGTGCAAAAGCAATGAATACTGTTATGCTGAAAATAAATTAAAAAAAATAAGAAAAAAAGTTAAAATCACTTGACAAGTTCTAGAATAAGAATGCAATAAAGTTTGGAATGTTGTTTTAAAAACACAATGATATATTACCTTATACGAGTTAGAAAGACTAAAATTAACAATACAGGGAACAACATATGTTGGAGAAGATGTGGAGAAAAATGAACTCTCTGATGATCTTGGTAGGAATGCAGGTTGATACAGCCACTTTGCAAAACAGTGTCTAGGTTCTTCAGAAAGATAAAAATAGAACTATCCTATGATTCAGCATTTGCACTACTGGATATTTATCCCAAAGATACTGATGTAGTGAAAAAAGGGGCACATGCACCCCTATGTTCATAGGATTTTTGTTCACTATAGTGAAACTGTGGGAGGAGCTGAGATGTCCTTCCACATATGAATGGATAAAGAAGATATGGTCCATATATACAATAGAATATTACTCAGCCATCAGAAAGGATGAATACCTTTATGTATGAATACTGTTATGTCAAGTAGAATAAGTGAAACAGAGGAAGATAATTATCCTATGGTTTCACTTCTATGTGGAACATAAGGAATAGTGAGGAGGACCACAGAGAAAGTCAATTATCATACGGTTTTACTTACTTGTGGAGTATAAGGAATAACATGAAGGACATTAGGAGAGGGAAAGGAAAAGTGAGTTGGGGGAATTTGGAGGGGGATATAAAGCATGAAAGTCATTGGACTCTGAGAAACAAACTGAGGGTTTTGGAGTGGAGGGGGGTGGTGTGATGGATGAGCCTGGTGGTGGGTATTAAGGAGGACATGTATTGCACAGAGCAGTGGGTGTCGTGCATTAACAGTGAATCTTGGAACACTGAAAAATAAAATAAAATAAAATAAAATAAAAAGAAATCAGAGAGGGAGACAAACCATGAGAGACTGTGGATTCTGCAAAACAAGGGTTAGGGAAGTGAGGGTGGTGGGGAATGGGTAGCCAGGTGATGGAGATTAAGGGGGGCAGGTGATGTGATGAGCACTGGGTGTTATACACAACTAATGAATCCTTGAACACTACATCAAAAGCTGATGATGGGGACACCTGGGTGGCTCAGTGGGTTAAAGCCTCTGCCTTCAGCTCGGGTCGTGATCCCAGGACACTGGAATAGAGCCCTGAATCGCGCTCTCTGCTCAGCGGGGAGCCTGCTTCCTCCTCTCTCTCTGCCTGCCTCTCTGCCTACTTCTGATCTCTGTCTGTCAAATAAATAAAATCTTAAAAAAAAAACCTATATGTTGGCTAAGTGAACATTAAAAGAGAATATAGACTTTTTTTCATGTTTTAAATTTTTTTTTCGGTGTTCCAGAATTCATTGTTTATGCACCAAGGAAATAAGGGCTTTGACACACTGGACCAAATAGACTTCTTAGTTATTTGGGACCCTTCTCTTTCATTTTGAGAAACTGAGGTAGAGGATTCTCAGGTGTATTGCGTTTTTTTTTTCCCCAAAAGTATCACATGACGTGATGAGCACAGGGTTTTATACTGAACAGATGGAGCGTTGAGTATTATATCAAAAGTCAATGATGTAATATACCTTGGCTAATTGAATTAGAAAAAACATAAGCAGCTCCTGGTTTCTTTGATCTGTTATGTGTTTCTGAGTTTCTATATAATCTCTTTGGGCTCTAATATTGCTATTTCCTTCCTTCTGTTATATTTAGGATTCAGCTGTTGCTCTTTCTCAATCATCTTTAGGTGTAATGTTAGGTTATTTATTTGAGATTCTTCTTTCCTCTTGAGGTGCTCCTGTATGCTGTGTATTTCTGTCCTAGGACCACCTTTGCTGCAGAGAAGTTACAGGATGGTGATAAAGGTTTTCTACTCTTTTCTTCAATTTAATTTTATTTTTTCAGTGGAGGTTTTATACCCGTGTGTGTGTATGTATGTGTGTGTGTGTGTGTGTGTGTGCGCGCGTGCGCACGTGCGTGCACATGTGTGTGTGATCTTCTGGCTGTGCTGGAGGTTCATGTGATTCACAGTGAGTGCCAATGAGATTCTTATAAAGGTTTTCTTGACCTGCATCACGATATTTGTAATTTATTAGTATTTAAGGACAGGAGGAAACTAATGTAACTGATTTTTTTTTTTGCATGTTAGTATATTTTTCTTCCTGTTACAAATAAGATTCTAATTCAGGGAGTGAATAGGTAAGCACAGAATAATGTCAAGGAGGCTCCTCTGGGAAAACTATTCTATGGAGAGGAAACCCCAGACCCTGACAGGAAATATGCCATAGACTCCATCTGTACCTGCTCCTGGGGCTTAAAGACAGAATTGGTGAGGAGTGTGCACCCTCTGCTGCTCTTATACCCTTGTAGTTTGAGGTTTGTGTCTGGGCTTACACTGATGTCCCCTCACTGTGTGTGTTGCACAGTAATACATGGCCGTATCCTCGGGTCTCAGGCTGTCCATCTGCAGATACAGCGTGTTCTTGCCATTGTCTCTGGAGATGGTGAATCGGCCCTTCACAGAGTCTGTGTAGTATATGCTACTTCCATCACTCCTAATCCATGTGACCCACTGCAGCCCCTTCCCTGGAGCCTGGTGGACCCAGCTCATGCTGTAGCTACTGAAGGTGAATCCAAAGGCTTCACAGGAGAGTCTCAGGGACCCCCCAGGCTTCACCAGGTCTCCCCCAGACTCCACCAGCTGCACTTCACACTGGACACCTGCAGACACAAGACATCCTAGTCAGGAATCCGTCACACACCCATGGTTTCTCTCACTCATATCCACTCACATCCTCAATGTCTCTTGTTCTCCAGAAATTACCTTTTAAAAGAGCAACAAGGAAAACCCAGCCAAGCAGAAATTCCATGGTGAGTTCTCTGTGTTCTGTTCTGATCAGGGAATGTGGACACCTGACAATCCCAGGGCTGGGGCTCCTTTCCCAGCTGCATGTTCCGGGCTGGGCTGTTTTATTCAGCGGAGGAAAGACCCTATTTGCATGTCCTCTGAGTATATAGTTAGCTCCAGAGTCAGTTTCAATTCTTTACAAGTTAAAAACAATGACTGCATTGATTGTAGATCACTTCATTTAGATGGCACTTTGAAAATATGCAGTATTCTTTTTTTGTTTTTGTTTATTTAAAAAATGCATTTATTGGGCCCCTGGGCAGCTCAGTGGGTTAAAGCCTCTGCCTTTGGCTCAGGTCATGATCCTGGATTCCTGGGATTGAGCCCCCCATCGGGATTTCTGTTTGGCCAGGAGCCTGCATCACCACCCCCTCTCTCTGCCTCCCTCTCTGCCTACTGGTGATCTCTGTTTGTCCAATAAATAAATAAAATCTTTTAAAAATGCACTTTTTGTTAGAAAACGTTGGAAAAGGACATCAATATTATAAATTCCCATTGAGTGTTAAGAATTCTATCAGAGCCAAGTTCAAATATACCTTTAATATATGAATGAATAAACTTTGTAAAAGTACTAGGATTATCAGTTTCCAAGCTTTCTGTTGTGTTCCATTGTCCTATGTGTCTGCTTTTATGCCAGCACCATACTGTTTTGATGACAAGAGCTTTGTAACCTAGCTTGAAATTGGAGTGTGGTGACTCCAGGTGGCTTAGTTGCCTGTTTGTTTTCTTTCTTTCATTTTTTGTTGTTGTTTTTTTTTAATTTATTTTCAACATAACAGTATTCATTGTTTTTGTCCACACCCAGTGCTCCATGCAATCCGTGCCCTCTCTAATACCCACCACCTGGTTCCACCAACCTCCCCCCCCCCCACCTCTTCAAACCCTTCAGATTGTTTTTCAGAGTCCATAGTCTCTCATTGTTCACCTCCCCTTCCAATTTCCCCCCAACTCCCTTCTCCTAACTCTCCATGTCCTCCATGCTACGTGTTATGCTCCACAAATAAGTGAAACCATATGATAATTGACTCTCTCTGCTTGACTTATTTCACTCAGCATAATCTCTTCCAGTCCCGTCCATGTTGCTACAAAAGTTGGGTATTCATCCTTTCTGATGGAAGCATAATACTCCATAGTGTATATGGACCACATCTTCCTTATCCATTCGTCCGTTGAAGGGCATCTTGGTTCTTTCCACAGTTTGGCAACCTATACTTTTAATGCCATTCCAATCAAAATTCCACTGGTATTCTTCAAAGAGCTGGAGCAATAATCCAAACATTTGTATGGAATCAGAAGAGACCCCGAATTGCTAAGGAAATGTTGAAAAACAAAAATAAAACTGGGGGCATCACATTACCTGATTTCAAGCTTTACTACAAAGCTGTGATCACCAAGACAGCATGGTACTGGCATAATAACAGACACAGAGACCAGTGGAACAGAGTAGAGAGCCCAGATATGGACCCTCAACTCTATGGTCAGTTAATCTTCGACAAAACAGGAAAAAATATACAGTGGAAAAAAGACAGTCTCTTCAATTAATGGTGCTGGGAAAACTGGGCAGCTATATGTAGAAGAATGAAACTTGACCATTGTCTTTTATTTTATTTTAATGTCTTTTCAGTGTTCAGAATTCTCTGTTTATGCACCACACCCAGTGTTCCATGCAATACGTGCCCTCCTTAGTACCCACCACCAGGCTCACCCAACCTCCCACCTCTCTCCCCTCCAAAACACTCAATAGTTCCTCCAAGCCCACAGTCTCTCATGGTTTGTCTCCCCCTCTAATTTCTCCCAACTTCCTTTTCCTCTCCAGCTCCCCATGTCCTCCGTGTTATTTCTTATACTCCAAAAGTAAGTGAAACCATATGATAACTGACTCTCTCTGCTTGACTTACTTCACTCAGTGTAATCTCTTCCAATCCCATCCATGTTGATACAAAAGTTGGGTATCCATCCTTTCTGGTGGAGGCACAATTCTCTATAGTACATATGGACCACATCTTACTTATCCATTCCTCCATTGAAGGGCATCTGGGTTCTTTCCACAGTTTGGCGACTGTGGCCATTGTTGCTATGAATGTTGGGGTACAGATGGCCCTTCTCTTCCTTGATAGTATATTTGTAGTAAATGCCCAGTAGTATAATTGCAGGGTCATAGGGAAGCTCTATTTTTAATTTCTGTTTCTTATTAACATAAAATGTACTTTTAGCCCCAGGGGTACAGGTCTGCAAAACTATTTTTAGTTTCATAAAGAATCTCTACACTGTTTTTCAAAGCGGCTGCACCAACTTGCATTCCCACCAACAGTGTAAGAGGTTTCCCCTTTCTCCACATCTTCGCCAACACTTGTTGTTTAATGTCTTGTTAATTTTGTCCACTTTAACTGGTGTTAAACTGTTGTTAACTGGTGTGAGGTAGTATCTCAATGTGGTTTTGATTTGAAACTCCCTGACTGCTAATGATGTTGAACCTTTTTTCATGTGTCTGTTAGCCATTTGTATGTCTTCATGGGAGAAGTGTCTGTTCATGTCTTCCGCCCATTATTTTGACATCATTATACGTTTAGTGTGTGCTGAGTTTGAGGAGTTCTTTATACATCTTGGACCTCAATCCTTTGTCTAACGTCATTTGTGAATATGTTCTCCCATTCCATGGATTGCCTCTTTTTTGTTTTGTTTTGTTTTGTTTTTTAATTTTTTATTTTATTTTTTAAAATTTTTAAAATTTATTTTCAGTGTAACAGTATTCATTATTTTTGCACCACACCCAGTGCTACATGCAATCTGTGCCCTCTCCAATACCCACCACCTGGTACCCCAACCTCCCACCCCCCGCCCCTTCAAAACCCTCAGATTGTTTTTCAGAGTCCATAGTCTTGGTATGGTTCACCTCCCCTTCCAATTTCCCTCAACTCCCTTCTCTCTAACTCCCCTTGTCCTCCATGCTATTTGTTATGCTCCACAAATAAGTGAAACCATATGATAATTGACTCTCTCTGCTTGACTTATTTCACTCAGCATAATCTCTTCCAGTCCCGTCCAGGCTGCTACAAAAGTTGGGTATTCATCCTTTCTGATAGAGGCATCATACTCCATAGTGTATATGGACCACTGTTTCCTTTGAAATACAGAAGCTTTTGATATTGACAAACTCCCAAGAGTTCATTTTCGCCTTTGTTTCCTTTGCCTTTGGAGATATGTCTTGAAAGAAGTTGCGGTGGCTGATGTTGAAGAGGTTACTGCCTATGTTCTCTTCTAGAATTTTGATAGATTCCTGGCTCACATTGAGGCCTTTCATACATTTTGAGTTTATCTTTGTGTATGGTGTAAAAGAATGGCCAAGTTTCATTCTTCTACACATAGCTGTCCAATTTTCCCAGCACCATTTATTGAAGAGACTGTTCCCTCCCACCCCTTCACTGGATATTTATTCCTGGTTTGTTGAAGATTATTTGATCGTAGAGTTGCAGGTCCATTACTGGGCTCTCTACTCTGTTCCATTTGTCTATGTTTCTGTGTTTGTGCCAGTACCATGCTGTCTTTGTGACAATTGGTTTGTAGTATATCTTGAAATCAGGAAACATGATGCCTCCAGCTTGGTTTTTCTTTTTCAACATATCCTTAGCAATTTAGGATGTTGTCTGGTTCCATACAAGTTTTAGGATTTTTTGTTCCAGCACAAAGTAATAAAAAACATTCCATGCTCATGGATTGGATGAATAAACATTGTTAAAATATCTATACTGCCCGGAGCAATCTGTACTTTCAGTGTCATCCTGATTAAAATTCAACTGGCATTTTCTTTCTTTTTTTTTATCTTTATTTCAAAGGTTTCAATATCTTTATTTTTTTAAATTTTTTATTTCTTTTCAGCGTAACAGTATTTATTGTTTTTGCACAACACCCAGTGCTCCATGCGATCCGTGCCCTAATACCCACCACCTGGTTAGCCCAACCTCCCACCCCCCGCCCCTTCGAACCCCTCAGATTATTTTTCAGAGTCCATAGTCTCTCATTGTTCACCGCCCCTGCCAAATTCCCTCAACTGCCTTCTCCTCTCCATCACCCCTTGTCCTCCATGCTATTTGTTATGCTCCACAAATAAGTAAAACCATATGATAATTGACTCTCTCTGCTTGACTTATTTCACTCAGCATAATCTCTTCCAGTCCTGTCCATGTTGCTACAAAAGTTGGGTATTCATCCTTTCTGATGGAGGCATTATACTCCATAGTGTATATGGACCACATCTTCCTTATCCATTTGTCCG